ACACTCACTATAATACGCCTCACCTCGCCTTGCGTGCAAGCTTCCAGCTTACCTTTCTTTTAATTCAAAACTCTTACGGTTATAACTTATGAAGAACGTCCCTACAGTTGAGTGCAATTCACTTTCTCATTTCTACTCGAGTAATGTTTCGGAGTTATTCTTCCATAGCTGACCACAATATTTCTCATATTTAAATTCATATTTTTTTATAGCGGTTTGACTGAATTTCAAGCGAGCGTGTTTGCGAAAGTATATCTTCGAAATACCTGAAGGCTTTCGCTGCTGTCTAGAATGGCGAGTTATCGAATTGAATGAACGCACTGTCTGTAATCGTAAAGAAGCGAAGGAATCACCCAATTCGATTACCAAAGAGCCTATTACGAGCGTGAATGTGGGTATAATCAGTCACTGCACTAAGTAACGACCCAGTATATTTTGATGTCTTCGCAAAGAAAAGAAATTCAAGGAGAGAAAAAGGAAGAGGGGGAGAAAGAGTTCAAAAAAAAGATTCTATCATGCAAAGAAAAGAAAAAAGAAAGTTAGCCTACAAACAAAAATAAGCGAATGCATCCTCTTTGAAAGCCGAAATCTCGGATCATTTCACCGAGGAGCAACCAGACCCCATCTTTCTTTTTTTGTTCATCACTTTCTGCGTGGTGGAACGCGAATTTACCTTCTTTTATGTGAACCTGAAAGCGGTTCGAAGCTGACAGGCTCAAAGACACACCAGACACAGGATATCGACCGAGCAAATGTCAGGGGACAAAGTGGAGTGTCAGGAAAACGAAATTAGGCGCATTGGGAAAATAAAAGCCGAATAAAAAAAGGGATAAAATGTCCGACTGTTTTTGGTCCCCTTTATATGGTTTCGGAAACTAGGGACAGCACAGGCTTTAGAAAAGTGACACCGCTATTTGTCTCGGAAGAAGAGTAACAGCCGCTTTCAATGAAATGGCGCTCAGCACGAGTTGGAAGGCCCTGACACCGAGATTAAACATTTCGAGCCTTCCGCCCCATTGAACGACGAGAAACACCGAAGCGGCCAAGGCCGAAAGACAATGAAAAAAAAAAAAAGAAAAGGAAACACGAGGAATGTTGGCCGTCAGCGAGACGTCTTCCCCATATTGCACTTGTGCCGATTCGGCATCTACCTTTGTCCCAAAATGCTGAAAAATGACTTTTCGACAAGCTTTTTCTTTTTTTTTTAAGTAATGATTACGTTAATTTTAATAAAACTAAATATATAAGCGAGAAGGTCTGTGACAATCCGTAGCGTATTGTCTGATTTTATTGAAACCACACAAAAAAAAAAAAAAACAGTTTTCGCGTGTGCATCGAAATCGACATGCTCACTACAAAAGCAGTTATTGTAAATTGTTTGCATTCTGCAACAGAAGCTGAGATATCCACGGAAGGGGGCAGCGAACAATACATTTATTTAAATGTGGTTGTTTCGTCAAATTGTCTTTTTTTTATATATAATTCAAATAATTATAAACAAATCGCCAAGGTTAGGCTTATGTTTGCGCTTGTCTTTTTAAGCTCAGGCGGCTAGAAGCGAATGTATATGTAGGATTCTGAATATAATGAACACTGATTGTTCGGCCGTACAAACAAAAAGTAGAAGTCGAGTTAAAGTCATTTGCATCGGTGTAGTTTTACACTTAGTATGCAACTAAATACTGTACAAAAAAAGAAATAGATTATAACTCCTGCAAACCTAAGTCATTCGTTCAACAAGACTGAAATATAACTTAATGATTCCCCATGCAAAGTGGACACGGAGTTACACAGTTCAGGGAAGTATAGCTTTATGAGCTTAGCCATTTGTTTCTGCATTATTTTACGCTTTGAGCACGCAAAGCCCCTTGAGCTAAGAACTCTAATAACTTCTTACTTTTAAGTGCTTCTCACCCCGTATGAATGACGATAACGCTTGGCGTATGCAGCACGTGACGCATCACGAACACGTCACTGGCGTGTTTTTTTTTTTTTTTTTTTGTGGATTTTCCCAAAAAAATGACTGTCATCAAAAGTACTGGTATTATTGAACACTAAAACGATCAAATAATAAGGTAAAAACAAGTGTTCGTCAAGTACAGTAATTGTGTTGTGTTTATGTATACACATTGGGGAGGGGGTGGCAGATAGTGAGCTATAGTGGGTTTTCGGTATCATCGCTGTAGAAGAAATATTTTGCCCTCATGGTACCACCGCTGGCCTCGGACCCTTAAGCTGTATCACTCAGTACTGATACTCAACCACACGTCGGTAAGACGCTCATTCAGATCTAACTGGTCAGGGGTGAGGATTGAATTCAGAACAGGGGCGGATCCAAGGGGGGGGGGGGGGGGGCACGGGGGCGGCCGCCGCGATGCAGGGCGCCTTAGTCAAGGCGAGCGAGGGAGCTCGCGGTGAAGCGGGCGAAGGAGACGGTAGACGGCGTAGGTACTCATAGGTGTCTGCAATCCCCCCCCCCCCCCCCCCCCGCAAACAAAGTCCACCCCCCTCCCGCCTTCCCGGACTGCAGTTTGACATGGGTGGACCTCCCCCCCTCCCCCTCCGAAATAAAATTGACTACCGGCCTGCCAGGTGGTAGAAGGCTCGGTACTCAAAGACGATGGTTCAAAATAGGGTAGGTCTCGCCCTAGCAGGCACACTTGTACTCTAAACTTGGAGAACGACTCCGTCACTTCAACCAACACCGAAGTACGCGGCAGCGGTTTCAGAGCACGGCTTGGAGCCAATAAGCCGGAGCAGCGGTGCACATCTAGGGGCCGTCGGCGGAGTGTGGTTCTGCGGTGGCTAAAGCCAGAGGAGCAACCAGGGTACGGTTCGTGCTACTTTAGTGTTCCCCAAAAATATTTTCCCGCCCCCCCCCCTCCCCCCCTCCTTCCCTTTAAACGGAGTTCTGGATCCGCCCCTGACTCAGAATCCCTGTGTTCTGCATCGCGAGCTTTCACTACACGCGCCCCGTGCTGCGGTGCGCTAACGCACTCGACCACCGATCTGATGTACCATTGCCTCCTATACACTGACGAAGCCTGGCAGATCGCCCGAGAAGCGGCCGCCGAAATGGAAAAGTGGAGCGGCAGACAACGGGTGAGAGGAGAGCCACGTGACTGGCGCCCCGCTGCGGCGAGCCGCCGAAACACACTTCTCCCGAGCAAAAAAGTGTTTTTCGGGTCCTCGCCGCTGCAGAATCTGTGCGCTGACGTCCAGGTCTCCCTAGAAATGGCTTTTTGATGCTCTGTGCTACCAGATCCACGCGCTCCGAATATGCGACCGGGCACTCTATGGCTCCGTCGTCGAGCTGCCCGGCTTTCTTAGTATAGAGGAGGCTATGGCTGTACGCTGTATAAACAAAAGGTACGGTAGCAGGGTGGTAAGTTTGGCCTGATGGTGATTTTCGACCATGATGAAAAACCGTGCTCAAAGGGACAGGACAAAATGTAGGAAACAATCAACATGTTGAAAAACAGCGCGTTTTTGTCCCTGTTCCTTCCTGTTGTCCTGTCGCTTTGAGCGCCGTTTCTCAGCATGCGAAATGTTTACGAACAAAAGTGCTTTTACCGGGTTTGCGCTAATTGTTCCGCGCAGTGTACTGCAGGAGAATCATGCGGAAGTCAATGCACAAAGATTCGGCGAGAGTCTCATGAAACGACACCACGACATTTTTAGATATTTTTGTTTGTCTTTAAGAAAGAGAAGGCACGTGGCCAATTGCCTTCTGGAATAGCAGCTGAAGCCCGAAATCCAGCTTAAGTCCGTCGCCCCGTCGTGACCCACGCGGTCACGCACCACCCCTCGAGGTATCGCGTGCGACCCACTTAGTTCATGGCGTCGCACGAAACAAAGTTGTGGCGAGCCGAATCGAACGCCCGACATACTAAAGACGGGTAGTTGACTGATAGCGGACCATGTTCTGGTCTCTCTTTAGCCGTCGGCGTGGACCCATAAATAGTGTGGACACCTAGACGTCAATAACGGTTCGAGTGCGGAAGCGGGATGGTCACGCAGGCTTTCTTCTATAAGTAGGTTTTAGTGTGTGGTGTGCCAGCGATCGAAGCATAGACGACCCGACTAGACTTTTTGTATTTTGAGCCGTCCGTTTGAAACGCTTTGTTTTGAAGACATCTGACGAGACGCGTAGGAGTTTTCGCCGAGTTAAAATGGGATTGCGTTACTGGGGCTCGTTCAGTCGTTCCTGTTAACTGACGACTTAGATTGTTCTGTCGTGAATATCGGCAGATTTGAGAGCAGTGTTTGCAATCTTCTGTTTTAAAGTAAATGACGGGGGTGAAAGCGGCGGAAGTTTCGTTCATTTTTCCCGCCTTGTGCACGAACATCCAGCCTGGATAACGCTTCGGCGTCTTGGGAGCTTCGAGTGTTCGCGTGCATTTGAAGCACGAAGGAATACAGCAACCGCGAGCCGGAGATGGGGCTTCGAAGAAAGACGCCCGGTCGTTTTAGATCTCTCAGTGAGTATAATAAAACGAGACACTTATGGTAATAACAAGAAATTATCACTTCGTATCAGTTTACTTCATGAAAGTTCCTCGAAAATGTACTTTCATCATAGTCACTTAAGTATGGTATTTTTCTTGTCGATTTTATTATTTTAACTCTAAATCCAACCTTAAGATTTTGTTTGTAGTTGGTTTTGGCGCGGGATGTGGCAGGTTACAATTTTAGTAACTTTACAAATATAAACGACGCGGATAGCTTTATTAATTATTCGTGCCGAAATGTAGAGCGTTTATCAGGTTGTTACCTAAGGGGTACGTCCATACGTGCACTCCATTCGTAGTGAGCTATAGCAGGTGCCTCTCGTTGTCAAAAAAATTGGTTCCGACGATTCATTCCAAGTAGCCAATAGACCACACCGGATGTCTGGAACGCAAATGTCTAGTTTTTACATAGGCTTCCAGTTTGTTCCGACGCTTTGATCTTACACCGGTAGGCATAGTTTTGGTTTCATCATTTTGATAACGCCGAGAATGGAGCCAACACGAGGTATGGTTTACACGTTTAGGCACAAGCCAGGGTCGTTAATATTGTTGAGGCCCAAACAGTGATGCGGGTATTGACCCACCCCCAAAGAAACAGTTTTTCTTTTATTTTCAAAACACGAAGTGCAATAAAATAATATTGTCCGTACCAAAATATTGTCCGTCCGTGCATTTTCCGCTAAATTTAGCGACGAAATTTACGTCAGATGACCTAACGTCACGTAACCCATGCACCAATTCAATATCCACCCTTCATTTAGCGGGAAAGTCGACGTCACATGGTCTGACGTCACGATACTTATGAATTAATGCAGGTTCCCCGCTAAGTGTAGCGGGAATATTAATCAAAGTATAGGTTTGTAATCACAACCAGCAAGGTTTTTTTTTTTTTACAAGATTAAGCGATAGTTTTGTAAATACTGCATTCTATGCGTTATTAGACTTACATATAAAAGACGTTGCTAAATTTTTCCTTTCACTTTCTTTCTTTCAGTGGTGCTAGAGGAGTTCGAGGCACACGTGCACGACGACTACGTGCCCCGGGGCAACACGGCGCTTTTCCGCTGCCACGTTCCCAGCACGCTGAGACAGTACCTGAGCGTCACTTCGTGGACCACCGAGGACGGACTGGTCATCGGGCGCAGGGAGACGCACTTACGTAAGTCAAGCTCATTTGCTGTACTGCTTTCCGGAGACCACACGGGAAAAAACATTCTTGGCAAATTGCTAATAGCCGATTCACACGACGGACTGATCCGCGGACGGATTGATCACGTGACGACATATCCGCGGTTCGTCCGCCTCCCAAGCGCATCCACACGAGGGAGACGACGAGCAGACGCCCGTGAGGACGGACCGAACCTGTTCGTACCCCACAGTGCCGCGAAACTCCAACATCGCACAGTAGCACGGTTGTCCAAGAGAGAAATCGACGGTTGCTACCGCGATAAAGAATCGTACGCCGCTGCTACGTACAGATCGAGAACAAAACACCGGGACAGGCTTCGCGCGAAGCGCCACTAACTTTACTAACCCAAAGCATGACAGTGACACAGGCATGATCCTGCCCGAGAAAGCTTCGGCGTAGACGCGACGAACTTCTGGGCTCGCGGAGGGGCGTTTGGAGATGCCTTCACACACTCCGCGCTCGTGCACAACACTCAAGCACACCACATCCACAAGAGAGGGCTTGCTCGGTGAAATCCTGATTGGACGTGCAAGAACTATCGCGGCGTGCTAGACTAGTTTTGACGGGAGCTTCTTGACACGGACCCGGAGGAGCACCGGAACCTGCGTCGCGTCAGCCGGAAAAAGTTTCTGGAGTTTCTCTCACGCGTGGAACCAAGAATCGTACGACAAAATGAACCAACAAACGCACAAAACGCAGCGACGCCAAGGCGACGCGCCATTTTTGTTTTGAACGCACAGAAGCAAAATACCAAGAAAACCATGTACCGTTGCCAGACTAAATGCTTTCCAAGTCAGTCTGCCGCCAAACGTCCGCGAGTGAAAAAGGCGCTCGACTTTATCAGTCCGCGCCTCCGCGGAGGAGGCGCGGATCGCAGGAATCGGTGACGTGACGGTCACGTGGTACACGGTCCGCGGACGAAAATCGCGATTTGGTCCGTCGTGTGAATCGGCTATAAACAACTGTGTTGCATACGCAAAGCGCTCTTGCACCACAAACGTTTAGCGAAACTTCGAGTTTCCAAACGCCAGACGCCTACGTTAATGTTGCCCTTCATCAGATTATTTAACACGTGCCGCTAACCTGGCTGATAAACATGGCGATGTTCCAGAGCCCTCCATACTCGCGAACTCCACTCCCCCAGCGCGCACCGGTGGTCGAGCTCCTCCTCGCCTACCTCACTCCTCATCGACTACTCCTATGGTCACATGACCTCCCCGTTAACCAGCCAGCGTCGAGCGCCTCACCACTCCTCTCTCTCTCACGCGTCAACCAATCAGTGTCAAGCCTCGCGGCCACGCTTTTGTCTGGGCTTCACGAAATGCCAGACACCTAGCCAAAGAACGTTTTACGTTAAAAGTAGGGTGTGTACTTTCCGGTGTTTATTTGTGAGAAAAATCGGCGGATGTTTTTCGGTGTTTATTTATTTTCGAAACACCGGTGTATTTCGGTGGAACGTCTCACGACGAGGCTAAAATCGGTGATTATCGGTGGAAAAAAATGCGATTGATCACAGACAGAGAGTTCTAATTTTATTCACATATTTCATACACTTCTCGAGAAAGCATATATTTCTCACACTTGGTTATTATAGTGGTTGCAAGCATACTTCGAGAGGCTTGCATCCGTCATGGCAGCACGTTCCTTGCGGTTCACAACTCGCAATTTTGAAAACACACGCTCCACATTTTCGCTGGACATAGGAAATCCCAAAATGTCCAGTCAGGCTTGGGACAGTAGTGGCCAGTCAGGTAAATGAAGTTTCCAAAATAACACTGGATCAACGGTGCTAGTCACAGCATACTGGCGGTAACAAAGAAACTCTGATTCTAGGTCACTCAGCTAGCTCTCGTCTCGGAGGACCAGCCGATAGATACTTTCATAAGGCACAAATCCCTCTGGCAGCTCCAGCCTCCACGCTTATGCACGAATTAACAATGGGCAAGCGGAACCAGAACGACGATTCATCCATGAAATCTGTAGCGTAGTCATTCTGAGCTTTCCGCTTACTTCCCATCCTGGTGGCCTTCTATTCCGCGTGACGACGAAGGGAAGCAAGTCTCACGTTGAGAAAACCCGCAGACGCGGGACGGACGCGCCTTCTCAAACACGTCTACAAATTTTCTTACAGAACGGGTCTTTTATATACAGCCGAAAAACTCCCCCGCCAACAAAACCCTCTTTCTGTTTCCCCAAAAGCCCATGGAAACTAAACAGATAACAAGGAACGCATCTCAGTTCTGAAAGGTCGGTAGCCCTTTACGACACGGATGTTGGTAGTGTCTTCCAGGAACCACGGCAACCCCTGAATACATGGCTTGCACCGACATTACTTGGCCAGACACAATGGGGAAAAGGCACGTGAGAGCGTACCCTACGCTGCGTTAATTTTTCCACAAAAGGGGGCCATGGGCGACACAGTGGGGGAAAAGCGTGTGAGAGCTCAGCTTTCACTGCGTTAACTAGACGCTTTTCACCCCCAGAAAGGAGGGCGGACTGACGCCACGTGCAAGCCATGTATAGACATTGGAAGAATGCTGGATCCACGAGATAACAAGTTTGACGAACCTCTACGGAGAAAGGGTTTCGCTAGGTCGGAAACTTGCAACGACCGGTGTTTTTCGGTTTTAACCGGGGCGAAAATATCCAACCACCGGTGTTTTTCGGTTTTAACCGATTTTGTATTTTTGTCACCGACAGATGTTTATCGGTGTTTTTCGGTTAAAACCGGAAAATACACACCCTAGTTAAAAGTCACGAATATAGTGGGGTTAGAGCTTAAGGAACGCAGAGTGCAGAGAGCCCCGTTCGTCTTATTTCTCTTTCTCTTTCGTTACTTGCACTAAATACCGTCTAAACGAGACAAACTTTGTGCCGTCATAATTCTAAGCCTCGTTCACATTCCCGTAAATATGTATCTATGCAGCATGTACACTAGCACTTTGATCCCACTTTAAACAGTTCGCAAAGTTCAGTCTCTCAGCGTGTTATGCTAAAATTTTATACAAAGGGGCGGCTCGGTGGCACACGCATGGAGTTAAAGTATCAACGGATGAGCTTAACTTGTTTGAAAGAAGAAAAAAAGTGAAAAACCTGTTTTGGGCTATCTGCCGTGACATTTGCTGACGACGTCATGACCGGGCTCGACTAGTTAAATCTGCCACCGACAAGTGTCGGAAGCGTCGAGGCCCTGGCGCCGAGATTAGCAGACGATCTTCGGAAACTTTTCACTACGCCGGTGCGCGTCTCTGCTGGCGCGCTCGACGTTTCCGACATTTGTTGGTGGCAGATTTAACCACCGTTAGTAGATCAACTCAGTTATGGAACTTCCCATAGAGGATGTACATTGAAGGGGGTCCACAACCGTGTTCGATTTTTGTTTTTTTTTGCAGTGAGGTGGCGCTGGCGGCGCATTATTCCACACGTTTTTGTCTGCTACTGCTCCGCGGCTGCAACTGCTTGCGAGTTCCGACCCCACTCCTCTCAAAATTCAGCATGGTTTCCGGTTGGTTCTTGCCCTTTCGCCAGTAAAAAAATACAATTTGAGCATGATAAGCGGTAGGACTGTTCTGGCATACGCTTTGTTTTATTTCAAGATGATGCCGCATTAGCTGTACCGAAGTCGTGAATCGCTTGAAAAAAACTCGAATTCATCGGCGTCACTAGAATCCGGTGACTACAATCAAAGCGAGTTTCTGCCGTAGTTATAGATGTGCAGACTTACCAGAGTAATGCGATCACGCGACATTTGTTTAATGGCGCGAGCCGATACACGAATTCAGGTTCCCCGCGCTAAATTTAGCAGGGAAAATGATGTCCCAGATCATTATGTCACGTGACCAACACATTCAATTTAGTTTACCCACTGAATTGAGCGAGGAAATTGACACGTGACCTTCCGCGACTCCTTCAGTTATGTGCAGCTAATTGATTTATTAGACACCAACATAGCTGATTCTGTTTTCAGTTCGACGCTTAGTCTCCTGTGTTTGGCTCGACGTTACATAGGGGCTGAAGGCGTATCTTAAACGCGGTGCGTTGAACCACCACAAGGAACAACAATCGATAAATATATGGAGATGTAAAATGTCTGTCCTAAACACTGCTCCACGTTTGGTCATGAGGGTGGTGTCAACATTCACCATGACGCTCTAATCCGATCGGCTCCGATATACTGATCCCCTGCTTAGAAGGGAGCTTCCTCTCGGGGTAATAACAGATTAACCCCGAGACAACGTTTTTGGACATAACGCTGTTGTGTATAAAACTCCAAAATCCGTTTGGCGACCACAGGACTGAAGCGAAGCTTACCACAGGAGAGGAAGAGAAAGTGAAGGCCATTTATTACTGCGCCCGTGCACATCTTCTTAAAAGCTCCACTCTATGAATTTTTGTAAACAAGTAATTCAATTTTGATCACAATGCAAATGATGACACTATCGGCGATAAAAACTTCAAGAAACCTGCTATTATGATTTTCGCTGGCTTTAGACAAAACTGAGCAAGGTTTACTGAAACCAGAGTCTGTTAATTTGTGTACGTGGTTATAACTTATCTTGTTGACAATAATATTTTTTCAAGCAGCAAAACATATATATTAAAACGCACTTTGTTTTTAAAGGAGGTTATATTTCTCTGCAGTTTAATTCTTTTTTTAATAAACCTAAACTCAAAATTGGAATAAAGGGCCACGGTATGCAAGCGAGCATATATTTAAGTTTGTCTGCCAGAAGTTCGGATACCTTGTGTGGAAAACTAGCGGCGGTGCACTTGACCTACGAAATATTGTTTGCCTATTTTCGTCATTTTTATTCATTTTCTCTCCCGAGCCTTTCAACACAGATTGAGCATCACTCCTAACGGAATTTGGCGCACATTTTAAGGTGGTGCCAATTAATACCTGTTACGAGTTGCAGCCATATATACCCAGACGTTTTCGTAGTAACTGATAATGATTTTACTCCCATGAA